TCAGGAACGGCTGGGCCGATTGCACTCAAATTCGGCACACCTTTAGAGACCGGTTAGTAGGGTGCTGTGCACAAGTCAGTTAGTATGTATATTCATGTGTCACGGTGTGGGTGCAACTGAACGTGCGCACGTGTAGGGGTCGCTTCCAGATCTTGAAAACGGCTGGGCCGATTGAACTTAAATTCGGTACACCGCTAGAGACCGGCAACTAGGGTGCCGTGCACAAGTCAGTTGGGACCCATCTTGCACGTGCGCACGTGGAGGGTGCCGCTTCAAGATCTCGAAAACGACCGGGCCGATTGCACTCTCATCATGCACACCGCTAGAGTGGTTAGTAGAGTGTCCTGTTCGTCAGTTCGTAGCACACCCACTCCGGTCTGTACGTGCCAGGCTCATCCTCTCGTTTGGCGGCGGATAACCGCAGGCTGTTTCTTCATTAGACAAACACTATTCGTTAGAACTGTGTTTTTCTATTGAAAAAAAAAACAACCAGAGCAGTCCTTCACCGGGCTATGTTTTGCATGGTTGGCCGCGAATCGAAATGTGTTTGTGATTGCAGTAGAAGACTAGGCCAGGAAACAATCGGTAGGTTTGCTACCAAAACACATTAACCTCCGCCCGAGTGGGGCGGGGGCGTTTTTAGCCACACCTATTAGTTTTCTTGCATTTGTTAAGAAAATTACTACGCGCATTGTTATAAAGCTTTGTATGATAGATCAATTTCAGCGGCATGGTTGGACCTCTATGCAGGCACACACCGGCGAGAACGGCTGCGCCAATTGCGCTTAAATCTTCATCCATGCGGCTACATACGGAAGAAGTGGCACTGCGGCGCAACATGCTTTCAGGCGTTTGACGCTTCTGCGTCATCTAGCGAGTAAAACGGAATGTTTGGCTAAAATGCCAGACGCATTTACCACACTCGGTAATCGTCCTCAAAAGCTTCAGTTTCGTGCGAGTCATCAGTTCTAAAGAGGTAGTGGTTTTCCCGGATCCCTCATTACTCCGTCATTCATTTAGGCGGTTATATACAATAGAACCGGCATTGCGGCACAGCATACATTCAGGCGTTTGTCGCTTCTGCCATCTAGCGAGTAAAAAGGAATGTAAGGTGTTTTCGGCTGATATACAGATCCGTTGAAGCATCAATATTAAACTTGATATTCGGCACAAGTCAATGACTCTGATTCGAATGGTGACGTCGACGGCGACCGTGACGTCACCGTTGCGTCAATATTGATTAACCCTCACCGGCAGAGGGGGCAGCACCCGCCTCTTCCCATAGGGTTTTTCGTGATAGCTCGGGACACGCCGGAGACAAGTGCTGAAACTTGGCATACCTGACCTATGATTCAAGCCGGATCTTATGACACCGACCACATTTGCTGGTTAGGTAAGGTCACTGACCTATGACGTCATAAGTGAACCTCTGCACTGTCCTCAGAGGTCGCAACTTCGCAACGCCCTCAGTACCAGAGGAACTTTCACAGAAAGATGAAACTTACAGGACGTAGTAGCCTCCCAGGATGTCCAACTTGTATAACTCGTATTTTTTAAAGGTCACATGAGGTCACGTTTGTTCTTTTTAAGCTCGTTTAAAAATGAAAAATTTTAACATGGAAAGTCAACGGGAGCGTCTTGAAATTGTGCATTAGATAGACACCTTTTTAGGCCTTAACAACCAATTTCAAAATTTGACCTCACTTGATCTGACCTTGACCTGACCTCGACCTGAAATTCATCCAGATGTGGTTCATATCACTTATTGAGTGTGTCTATTGATTTCTATGAACAAAATGACCCATAAAACTTGTGTCGCACATGCCCTTTTCTATATTTTGTTTTTGGTGACCTGACCTGACCTGACCTGACTTTGACCTTGACCTTGACCTTTGAATGATATTTTATGCAACGAATATTGTCTTGGTAGCCTAAGAACACGTTTTGGGCAATCCTTCTTCGTCCATTCTTCGGCAACTACGGTGCAAGGCCGATACTGTAGAAACTTGCATTTTGTATCCTTGACCTGACCTTGACCTGACCTCTGACCTACTTAAGCAAAAAAAGTTGGGCTCTTAAGATCCGCCTTGTTGAGAGTTTTCGATTGCCGTTTTCCCCGTCTTTCTACGACCATCGGTTCGGAGGTTGGACAGGGGGGCAGAATCTGCCCCCCGGCCCCCCAGCAGGGCGCGTATGGCTGAATAGCCCAGCGGGGCGCGGGTTAACCCGCGCCCCAGTGGCGGTCTCAGCCAACTTCGCCCTAGTGAGGGGGGGCATATGTTACCACCCACCTCTAACTCAAAAACTAAGAGGGCTAGAAAGACGCGGTAAAAGCAGTCGATAGCTCTTAATGCGTACGTTTGAAAGTATTTCGGTCATTTTTCACCTTAGAGCAATATTGGGTCACTGGAGGTCAGCAAAGGTCAAAATTTGCCAATTGTCATTATATTTTTCAGAAGACATGCCGCTATCTCAGGAACTAAGGTAGCTAGAAAAACGCATGGAAAAGCAATCGATAGCTTTTGAGCTCTTCCTTTGAAAAGGTCATTATCAATATTGACCTCAGGTCAACGGTTTAGCCTCCAGAGGGCAAAAACTCCAAAAATAGCTGTTTTTACGAAAAGTGTTTTTCGACAATAACTTTCGAGTGCAAAAAGCCACGACATTTCTATTGCCAGAATCGTGTTCCCCTCGCCGAGACGCGTCGAATGAACTATAATTTGACCTTGAAAGGTCAACTTGAAAATTTGACCTCAGGTCAAGGTCATGATCTTACCAGAAAAGGTCATGTTGCATATCAGTCGATGCGTCTCAACAGGACAAACACAATGAGACCATCCCCAGCGTTCTATCTCTTTCCAATCGCGAGTTATTGGCAAAAAACTGTTGCCTCAAGTGACCTCGGATGACCTGTCTAGAGGCTATCAGCAAAAATGACACCTTGGTCATCATGAGTGGACTAAATCATTGTGATTCTGAAATATTTGGACTGTTCCGATGCGTACACACGGATCTAGAGGCATTTTCATTTTTCTCCATTGACTTGTAATGGAAAGGTCACGCCACTGACCTGACCTTAGGTCACGGATATAAAAAATCCGAGATACACAAATTGTAGGCCCCTATAACAGCATGCAATCCACCAAGTTTGAAACCTTTCTGACAAACACTACAGGCTGGACATGATTGCAAACTTTTTTTTTGGCTTGGTCAGTTAACTTGACCTGGTGACCTGACCTGACATGACCTGGGGTCAAAAATTTCACACATTGTCCAAAATTGATGTACGGGGACCCGCAGTTGCTACTGTACAGCGACCCTAAGTAAACGGTCCCAGCACCCTCACAGGAAACAACGATAAACTGTCAGAGGGCACTCACAGGAAACCTCAGCTGCTCTTGTACAGGGACCGGCAGTCGATATCAATGTTATCGGTTGTTACCGGACAGGACAGACGGTTAGACTTGGGGTTCGTGCACAGTAGCAACTGCGGGTCCCCGTACCAAAAGCTACCCCAAGCGGCGCGGCGCTACGCGCCGCGGTTTTTTATTCACACGCAAAAAACGCGACAGGGTGGTAACATATGCCCCCCCCCCCCTCTGGGGCGAAGGTTAATAGGCAGGTGTATTCGCAGACAGTCATGACCAGCAGCGACGGCGGCACTCGTCACGACACTCCGGCGCCGGCGACTGCCCGGCACCGCGCTCCGGTCGCCACTGCCCGCCGGCCCGCCGGCCGGCCGGCGCCCTGACCCAGGTCGGGTCAGCCGGGACGGCACTGCCCGGGACGTCACCGGCTCCGCTCTGCGGCGCAGCCCCCGATGCGCGACGTACATCCCATCAAAAAGACCCCAGTGGGGCGCGGGTTGAGTTACAGGCGGGGTTGGGGCGGGACGCGGGTCGATCCCCTCGTTCCGCCCATACTGAGATTTTCCTGTTACATTGCAAAGACACGCATCGCGATCGCCCGTAACAAGCCTCACTGCTTTCAACCCCGAAGTGAAGGTGCCCAGTTTAACGAAGTCATGTGCTTTGGAAAAAAGTGAATATGAATCGCTTGCATCGCTCAGCATCGCTTCGGGACCCTTGACGGCACGGTATATAGAGAACTAGGTAAAACCGGTTTGCCGCTTCAACACTAAGGTATTTTGACCACTATTTTCAGCTGACCTCTTCGGTCCAAAAAAGAAAACTATGCCACAGATTTCAATATATTTTATTATTCAAATATATATTTTTGATTAATGTACAGAGAGCACAGCTTATCAAAATCTGTATAGTAACAACGAAAATAAATTTTTGTCCAACTCCGCCATTTCGAAAATAATGGTTCTAAGGTTTTAGGGGTTGGTCAGGGACAACATTATTTTTCTACTCTTAAAATTTAAAATCAAACATGAAAAAGTAATATCATGGGCAAAAATTGTTTCCTTTAATTACAAAATCAGCATAGTGCTGAACTTCTCAGCTTACCGGACCTGCCATTGTTCTACCACAAATTATCGGTTAATATCAGTAATGTGGGGTTCTAAATATGGTCAGAAAACATCAAATTTAAATTATCTTTCAGAATCTGTGCATTATGTTGCCTTTTAAATGTTAAAAACTGAATTTAGATGATGTTGAATACACAGCCGCCATTGGTGTCCTTGGTCACCCTGTTCCACTAAATGTAGTATTTTTCAAAAACTAGCCTATGGCGGTGTCTAAAACATTTACTAAAATTTACAAAATTGTCTACACTATTAGAAATCAGAAAGTTTAAAGCTCTATGACCTCTGGCATTTTGACAAATTACTTCCGAGTCTCGAACTTAGATTTTTGAGAACCCAACATTTCTGAACGAAATTATTGCTTCTTGGTCAAACTGTCAATCATATGCTTTTAAAAGTTTTTTATTATAACCAAAATTTAATTTTCTTTCCAGATATGTATCTTTAATTGCAATTTAGAAGGTGTTAATTATATTTTTTGGTCTAGACTCTAGAATGAATTACCATTCATGCTGCTGAAGTTTACACTATGGAAATTAACGAAATATTACTAAAAAACAAGCCTATGGCGGTGTCTATTTCAAGATGAATAATAAACAAAATTCAATTCTCTATTTGTTGATATAACTTGTAAAGCATGATGACCTCTGGCATTTACGAGGTTTGGTGTTGAAAACTGCAGACCATGATTATCACCCACAGTTGCGCACGGTTTTCTGTACTGCTTTCGCTAGCAAACGCCAGTGCTTGCATTTGATTGGTCTAACGGCGTTTCTTTTGCTAATTGAGAACACTCTTCAGTTTTATTTTTGTTTCTGTGTATTTTGTTGATTTTGTTGTCGGATTTGGTGGTATTAGGCAAGGTATTAGGCATTATTCAGTCACACAGTTCCCGTGGTATTATGGTAAGCAATTTTAATGTTTTATTGTGATAGGCTACGTGTGCCAGATTGGGTGATTTTGTTTTAAGTTTTTGTTCTATGGTTTAGTTGAGATGCAAATCACCAGTGCAGATCGTTTGTTGCAAGGTCAAGGCGTACCTACATTGTTTGTTTTTATTGATTTGTCATGCCTCAATTACCAATCCTTCGAAGTATGTAGTCTATCGCAAGTCTCTATAAACCTAATACCTAGATACATTTTGTGCATCCGCTCTCTCTTTGCGCGCTTCCATGGTGTTCTCCCTCTCGATTCCATCCTCTTCTTCTCCTCCACGTATCAACCCCCTGCTTCAGATGGCCATTGAGGTAGGTGCCTTTGGAGCTTGCAGCAATGAGCGTTAGAATTAAATTACCAGAAATAAATGATGCTGTGAAAATTAATCAACAAAAGGTGACAAGAATTAGCTATTAAAATATTATATCACTAAAAAAGTATATTTGTGTAGCTATCATGAGATACATGTCCTGCCCCTCTGGCCAATCCTGGTCAGTCCTGCTCCGGGTTGTACAGACAACTACGAGGTAAGAATACCCTATGTGGGAAGCCCGAAGCTCCCCCAGGAGTATGGCCATAATAGCTGGGTTTGGTGAGTGTCACAGGACTGATGCTGATGCTGATGATGTGGTCAGGCTGTCACCTTTGCATCGGTAGCCCTATAAACACAGGTCGGGGGGGGGGGAGGGTATTAGTAGGATAAGCTTAGGATGCTGGTTAAGCCCTTTCCTCGTCACCCGCCTTTGTCACCAGTTTTCTCCTCAGCCTCCAGAGCTGGTAGAGTCCATCCTTGTTCTGCTCCATCTCTTTTCTATCATCGTTAAAGAGGAATGCTTCCAGTACCTCGTTGGGTTCTTCCACGTATGGCCTCAGTAGAGCTAGTTTTCATTGTCTTTCTTGTGTTAGCTTGGTACACTCTAGCATAAAATGGACTTCATTTCCTTCTTCTTTTCCACAGAGCTTAATCACCGTTATCACCTCATCCACCGTCTGCTCAATGTATGAGGAATACAGAGACAAAGGCTGTTGATAATTAAACAATTTCTGTGCTTTCTCAGGAAGTCAGTACTTTGTTAGATATGTGATGAGTTTAACGTAGACAATTGCAGTCTTATGTGTCGATGAAACTAAAAGTCTTGGAAACATAATAAGCTTAGCATAACATTCTGCCATTGTGTTCATGTGGCTGGCTTTGTCGTTTCTATTGTAGGTACTAGGTATGCTTTGTGGATTCTGAGTTTTGACCATATTATCTTCCACCAGGCTCATTGCTGGCAGTGGTTCAGGAGACAGTCGTTCGATTCCAGCTGTAGAACGTCACCTGCAGGAAGTAGCATTATGATGGCCAGCCACGTGGCGCTTGTATCCAGCCACATTGTCCAGAAACCATCACATCATCTCCAGGTCAGTAACTGTGTGACTGTGGACCAGTCCAAGGCGTCCACAGACCACAAGGTCATGCTGTATCGTACCACGTCACTAGGTCAGTGACGTAATGGCATTGTGTGACCCGTCGCCGCGTCCTTATAAGGACCACTCACCTATAGGTGGGTGGCTCGGGAGAACTTTTTGTGTTGCCGGGATGGGATGTCTGCGAAATGCGGGTGCCGCTGCAAGTGTCGTGACGTATGATGGGTCTCAGGTTCGGATTTCGATTTGTCGAGTGAGATGTGTGTACAGGCTAATGTAATGTTATTATAGCTGAGTGTGCGACAGGAAACGTTAATCATGAGCTGTGAGTCGTTGTCGCCGTGGCTCGTAGTGGTATTTGACGACCGTTGTGACCTGTGACGGTCACCGTGACTGCTATGTGATGGTCGCCGCGGCTGGCATATGACGGCCGCCGTGACTTCTCTATAACGGCCTTCGTGACTGAAACGTGACGGTCGTCGTGATGTGCCGCGACTCGCTGCTTTACAGGTCACTGGTCGCGGGTGCTCGAGCTGACTGTGTCTTCAACGGCTCCACGGTGACCAGCGCCGCCACCGCCGAGACCATCCGATTCCTGAAATGATAATGGCCGTACACGAACAAGAGGCTCTATGCATCTAGTTGCGAGTCAAGCGCCATGCTCAGAGGCGTCATCCGGAGAAGGCCGCACAGTGCACTTTAGGCTGAGCTCTGGTGTAGTGCGCGCTGACGGATAGGATGAAATTACGGGCCGGCCATCAGATTTCAGTGCGGGGATCAAGATGGTCGGAGCCGACGTGGCTTGGTTGATGGTGTGTCAGGGACCAGGGTTGATTGAAAGTGGAGGCGAGACGACCAAATGTGAAGGATACACCGATACGGGTCTCGACGTCGTCTCGCAATTTGTGCTATGTAATATGACGGTTATGCCGTGGTATCATTCACTCTCGATGCGCTAATATGTAGTAAATAGGACAGAGACTGGAATTAATATTATTATATTTGGATGTAAGGGCCAGGTTTTGACCAGCGCTATATTAGAAATCGTGAGCGTGCTAGTTGCAATCAATCGCGCGCTTCTTGCTGAGCATCTGTGAGCGAAAAAATACTTTCTCTGGAACGTTCGTCGTAAAATATGTGTATCTTTGGAATAAGTTGTCAGAACATGAATGCATTTTTGGTGTCCACTGCAGCTGCTGTTCTGGAACAGAAACATACCGAGATCGGCTGTGTATGTACTATGTACGCTGTGGCAAAATCAAGCAGCCGGGCCATGAGTCAAAAGCGATATGTGAATTAAAGTTGATATATTTCACTATTTTAAACAACTAAACGCCTGCGATCACTGGAAAGTAAATAATTATAAGAAAAGTATAATTAGAAAGTATAGAAAGTAAATAATATTCACTATTTTAAACAACTAAACGCCTGCGATCACTGGAAAGTAAATAAACAATAGATACCCATGTGGCTGTCTTGTCTGGCGTGATCCGAGTCTCTCTCTCTCTCTCTCTCTCTCTCTCTCTCTCTCTCTCTCTCTCTCTCTCTCTCTCTCTCTCTCTCTCTCTCTCTCTCTCTCTCTCTCTCTCTCTCTCTCTCTCTCTCTCTCTCTCTCTCTCTCTCTCTCTCTCTCTCTCTCTCAATCTCTCTCTCTCTCTCTCTCTCTCTCTCTCTCTCTCTCTCTCTCTCTCTCTCTCTCTCTCTCTCTCTCTCTCTCTCTCTCTCTCCCCCTCTCTCTCTCTCACTGTTGTTGCTGACGCACAAAAGGACAACACGGCCGAATCGCGACGATGGAGAGCACGGAACGATGCTGGTGACTGGCGGACCAGCGAAAACAGGAAAGGAGATGAATAGCTCTAGCTCCCGTCTGCGCGCGGAAGGGCGATGATTGGCGCGGCTCGCAGACTCCATTGGCTCATCAGACTGTTGTTGGTTTTCTCCCTCCCCTCCCACAGGCGTAGCCAGGTAGCTAAGTTGTGCGCGGAAGCGGGCGGCCAGAGCGGCGCTAGGTGTCGCCCTCCCAGCCACCGGGCAGTGCAGCTGGACGTGCCCCGGATGGTCCGCCTCTGATCTCGGCACACTCGGCGGAGTGCGGCCGGACACTCCATGGAGTTGCATAGCGTCGATAGGCCGTATGGTGTCGCTGTCGTAATTATAAACCCGTAAGTAGAAGGTTGAAGCAAGATATAGAATGCTTCTCTTTACATTTAATATCGCAAAGCACAGCTTTATGCGCTGGCTACGATATGTGCGTGTCGGTTGCGGCTGTGATCATCGAAGAAATATATGATTTATAAACGTTTCTTGATCATAGAATGATAAAACATTGCAATATTTGCCTGTTGCGAAGAAAACTCCTATACTGCCGCTCTATCGTCCGGAATTATTCGTGTTTGATTACGGCAATTCCGCCACTCTATCAGCTGATTTTTGTTTCCGAGTCACGTGACCAACCGGTGTCTCCCTGCTTGACGGCTGCGGTTGTCAATTGTGATAGAAGTGATTAGATATTATTAAAAAAAGTCGTTAGACATTGTTGCTGACAAACTTCATAGAAACTTGTGAGTTTTGTGATCTTGTTTTGCAAGAAGAATTGAAGACTCGTACAGACACGGTGAGTTTAACGCTGCCACGCTTGACCGTCGGCTCGGCTAACTTGTTAAGCGACTGTTTACTTTTTTTTAGAAAGGTAGTTAGGCAATTACACATGAATTTCGAAAAATCGTCCTTGTTGATAGTCAAATGGTCATTCTGTTTTGCAACATTCATTATGAGGCCCAGTGTAACAGATTCTGGTTAAATGCTCCGAAAACTGCGCTTCTGAGACAAACGAGAGTTGTTTACAGTTTTGTTTCACGTTGCTAGGTGGTTGCTATGGAGCTATGGATACTTCCTTACATAGTGATTTGCATTTATTACGGAGCGAGCGAAGCGAGCGGAGTCTTACGTAGAATAACGGAAATTTCTGAGTATGAGCGGCCGGCCGGCCGGCCGGCCGGCCGTGCGGACGCTTTTGCGAGGCTTATATCTCAGCAACCACTTGACCGATTTACACGCGGTAATTTGTATAGGGTAGCTTCATTCCTTCTACCAAGTATTGGACTATTCCCGATGCATGTGAGTGACCCCTTATGCACGTGCCACGTGCAAAACGAAGAGGTTTCAGTTTTGCAATTGTTGCAATATTTCGGTAACTACTTGGCCGATTGCGCTGAAAGTTGGCATGTAGGTAGGCACCCACTAGGCACTGCATATCCATGTGCCAGAGTTGGGGTGCTGCTGCACGTGCGCACGTGCAGGGGTCGTTTCCAGATCTCGAGAACGGCTGGACCGATTGCGCTCAAATTTGGTACACAGTTAGGGACCGGTTAGTAGGGTGCCGTGCAAAAGCCAGTCGGGACCCATTTTGCACGTGCGCACGTGCAGGGTGCCGCTCCCAGATCTCGAGAACGGCTGGGCCGATTGTGCTCAAATTTGGCAAATCGCTAGAGACCGGTTAGTAGGGTGCCGTACACAAGTCAGTTGGAGGTACCCCCTCGCAATTTCGCACGTGCAAGGCCCACCCTCTCGCTCGCTCCGTTAGTCGCCCCATAAGGCGTTATACTGGTATTATGTGATATCGACATATGCCAGCCCCAATAGGTACCTCAATTCATGCTGATAATATTGTTGATTTGTATGAAATGTATGAATAGAGCTCTGCAATCTTGTTTAACCCGCGCCCGGCTGGGGGTCCTGGATTTCCACGCCCTGCTGAGGGGGGGGGGGGGGGGTTTGAACACCCCCCCCCCTTCTAACTCGGCTCCTGGGCCACGTAGCGATACGCGGAAGGCGGCGTTCGAAAGAGCGTCAAAAATAATGAGGAAATCACTTCAGTCAATTTTTTGGTCAGGTCAAAGGTCAGGTCACCAGAGGTCATTGAAGGCAAAATTTCGCCGATTTCCAGGTCGAATGTCGACAATTTCCAAGAAGCCAACGCATAACTTGGGAACCAATAGAGCTACAGCGCCGCGGAAAAGCGCATTCGATAGCCCTATTAACGCCCTTTCTGAGTAATTCTCTCAGATTTGACCTAACGTCAACGGTTTTGCCTGCAGGGGGCAAAAATTGCAAAAATAGCCGATTGCGAAAAACCACAAGGGGGGTGTTCAAACACCCACCCACCCACCCCCCCCCCCCCAGCAGGGCGCGGTTTAACCCCTCGCCGGATCTATTGGTTTTCTACATACGCGCCGGCCGAGAGGGGAGGGGGTGTACCAGGGGTAGCCAGTAACAGTTGGTAGCTGGTAGTTGGTAGAAAGGTAATTTTTCTTAACCCGCGCGGGGCTGGGGTCTCCAGCCGAACGCGCGGGGCTGGGGGGGGGGGTAAATTTTACCCCCCTATCCTTTTTTGTTACGTCTTGATTCCTTTAAAAATGAAGATGTTAGCGGCGTTTGAACTTTTGCCGTTTTTGAGGCGAAAATGGCGAACATGACGTCACTAAAACGTCCATTTCTCAAAAATTTTCCGACGGATTTCGCTCAAATTTTCAGGGAACGTGTCAAATTGATGTAAGAAAAGGTACTGAAAGTTTGGTACAGAATTTTGTAACGTGTCGTTTTTTAGATATTGCAAAAATTCGCGAGGGGGGGGGGGGAAATTTACCCCCCAGCCCCGCGCGGGTTAAAATAGGCGAAGATTGCTTAGAACCGTTGTTTGCTTACCGTTCTCATGGCGACTGACCATGCTATTTAAAGTTCCCGTTTTGCGTGATAGACATTCACAACAGACATCTCTTTCAGCATGGCCCAATCTTATAAACGCCGTGAAATGAATATGGCGATCAATGTGTTGTTTCTCTTCCTGCATATCGATCTGACTTCTGTGCCGAGTATTTTTCTTGATATGCTTTGATATGTAGACTGGGTTCTTCAATCTTTTGAGGAATTGCTTTTTAGCGTCCCTATGCTTGAATAAGAAGGAAAATAAGCTGTAACTTGACCTAATTCAGTTCATGTACGTAGTCTTCGAATTTTAGTAGTTTATCTTCAAGAAGGAAAATGTCATGAGCTTATGACAAGAAGGAAAATAAGCTATATCTTGAATTGATCCAGTTAATGTACGTATCCTGATGCTCAAATTGTAGGAGCTTCATTGTCAACGGCATTACTTAACCCGCGCGGGGCTGGGGTCTCCAGCCGAACGCGCGGGGCTGGGGGGGGGGGGTAAATTTTACCCCCCCCCCCTGTTATCTCCCGAACTAACAGTCCGATTTGGAAAATTCAAACGCCAATCGAAAGCTCTCATCACGAACTACTAAAAACATGTACTTAATTTAAAGTTTGAGGTCAAGGTCAAGGTCAGGTCAAGGGTACAAATTGCAAGTTTCTACAGTATCGGCCTTGCACCGTAGTTGCCGAAGAATGGAGTCATGGACTGAGACTGATCGCCCAAAACGTGTTCTTAGGCTACCAAGACAATATTCGTTGCATACAATATCATTCAAAGGTCAAGGTCAAGGTCAGGTCAGGTCAGGTCACCAAAAAACAAAATATAGAAAAGGGCATGTGCGACACATGTTTTATGGGTCATTTTACTCATAGAATTCAATAGGCACACTCAATAAGTGATATGGACCACCTCTGGATGAATTTCAGGTCGAGGTCAGGTCAAGGTCAGGTTAAGTGAGGTCAAATTTTGAAGTTGGTTGTTAAGGCCTAAAAAGGTGTCTATCTGATGCAGTTTTTCACGGCGAATCGAATGGTGCTACTTTTGTTTCCGTACGAGGTCTAGAACTTCCAAAAAAGTCATTTTTCAAAAAAAATTGTATGTCGCGACGTCATAAAATTTTGAATAACTCCCACATTTTTGAACCGATTCTTCTAAAATTTGGTATGTAGGTGCACATAGACCACTTCTCTAACGTATATTCCGGTTTTTTTTCGATAGACTCAAAATTTTGGATTTTATAATGATTTTCCCAAAAAAGTCAGTTTTTTGAAAACATTTAAGTCAAAATCCAAAATTTTCAAAAAACCGAGATAGCCATTTGATAGACAAAGTAAAATTACGTATAACCTTTTTTGTTACGTCTTGATTCCTTTAAAAATGAAGATGTTAGCGGCGTTTGAATTTTTGCTGTTTTTGAGGCGAAAATGACGAACATGACGTCACTAAAACGTCAATTTCT